ATGAAGAACTTTTCTGGATGCACCCTCTCCACCCAACCCCTGCTTTTAGAGACCTCTATTCTGTCCCCCCTCCGTCTCCTCTTTTCTAAGCTGAACAGTCCCAGTCTCTTTAGCCTCTCTTCATATGGGACCTGTTCCCAACCCCTGATCATCGTAGTTGCCCTCCCCTCTCCCAGCCTCTCTCTTCCCCTTTCCCACCTCCTTGTCCCAGTCTCCCCCAGTTTTGTTCAATAAATAGAGATTCCATTTTGGAAGACACGTTATCTTTATTTTGTACATCAAGAAAAGGGGCTAGGGAAGGGTAAGTGGAAGGAGGTGAGGGAGGAATGGGGTACACGCCCCCGATGGGGAGGACTGGGCTGGCTCTGCGGGCTTCTGGGGGTGGAAGCTCTCCTGCAGCCCCCCAATTGCCCCCTCTCCCCAGATGGCAGCCTGCGGCAAGTGCAGCCGGGCTGATGGCCGAGTGGTGTGGGCACTCAGGGCACTCCAAGCCAGGACTGGTTTTCAAGCGGGGCACCCCTGAGAACTGTCGGGACCCTTTAAGCACAGCCCTCGGCTAGCCTGAGACAGCATCTCCACGCTCTAAGTTTTCCTCTGATGCCCTGCCGGCACTGCTTCCGGCCATCCTTAACCCCGGTTCAGGGTCCACTTAATGTGGACATGCTAGTTCGAATTAGCAAAACGCTAATTCGAACTAGTTTTTTAGTCTGGATCCGTTAGTTCGAATTAGCTTAGTTCGAATTAACTAATTCGAACTAAGTTAGTTCGAATTAACGTTGTAGTGTAGACATACCCAAAGCTATTATCTAAAAAAACCTAAGGAAAATATTGAACAGAATCAGACCCAGAATTGATCTCTGAGGGATCCTCTTGTTATGCTCTTCCATCACGACTATGAACCACTGACAACTACTCTCTGGGAATGGTTTTCCAACCAGTTATGCACCCACCTTATAGTAGCTCCATTTAGGTTGCACTGCTCTAGTTTGTCAATGAGGTCATCTGAAGCTGTATCAAAAGCCTTACTAAAGTCAAGATATACCACATCTACCACTTCTCTCCATCCAGAAGGCTTGTGTCTCTTACATTTTTCATAGCCTTCCAGGAACAAGTCTCCTAAGTGACCACGATCATTTTTTCCCTCATCCTTCTATTTCCTCAACCCTTCTCATGGCTCAATTGATTTTTAAGTGGCATTACTTATGGAGTAAGGCACTTGTTGCTGTGAATATGGGTGAAATAATCTGGCCCTTAGATTGTAAGTTTTTCTGAGAAAGAGATCTTTATCTTTTATTTAAAACACTTATGTGTTACTTACATAACCAGATGAACCAGAGAAATCCCGAAACATACCCAAGCACAACCTGGAATTGAGTCTTCTCTCCATTTCACCAGTCATGTTGTTTTTATTCTTCTGAAGTCAACATGAGATGGTAACACCAACATCAATGGAATCAGTAGAGTAACACCAGGGGTAATACCAGTGTAATAACAACTGAGAACTCCTTTGTTCGATCTGCATTTTAATGGGTGAGCCTCCCAATTTTCTCTGGGTCAGAAACTTATCTCCCTGGAAAATCAAATCACCTCTTACCGTTTCTGAATTTCAGAGTCACTGAAGGAAGATAAGCGTGGAAGGCCATTCTTCTCATGGTCATGTACAATGTTCTCTGGGATTTCGTCTATGGAAGAAAATGCTCCTAGAAAAAGAATACAGACAGAAAAGTTACCTTTAAAAGAGTTGGGGAAGAATATTTATCTCACAGTGTTGTTTTATACGGCTTTTCTTTCTCCCATGGCATTAGTATCTCTGGTTACAAGGTACAAAAGCTGTTAAATAAGGGATGATTCTGATTGCAACACTAACGGCTGTTCAACACTGAATATAATACACATTTGGAGATTTGGTACATGGCAACTCTTCTCTAAACCAAACCAGCACTCAAGTCTCAAATAGTGCATGTAAATAAGCCTCATCAAGCAGCCCTCCCCTCCCTTCCCACAACCTTGCTCTCACATAACCAAGCTGGAAAGACTTAGAAGCTAAGGGTTTTTGCTTTAGCTTCCAGCAAACTGACACACTCTAAAGCATCTACCTGAACCACATCAACTCGAAACACTTCACTGTCACGCTCCTGACAAGCTCCGTTTGCTTGGGTCCTTTTTGAATTAAACAAATACTACATTAAGAAGTGCCAAATGTCAGATCTTTGGGTGTTGCATAAGAAAATAAAATACAGAATGGCAAGCGTCCAAATGTTATTTTAACATGGTTCTGTAAGCTAATTTATGCTAATTAGCTGTTACCCTCTCATGCTTACAATGCTACAGTAGTAGACATGCAGTGCAGTTACATGACAATAAAGAGCTCTATGGAATTCAGTGGGATTCCACATGGGCAGAAAGACAAGGATAGTAATCAAATCCACAAATCCTCATGAAAGCCACCAGTGCCCATCTATAACTGAGTGATCCCATCACTGGAGTCACACTGGTGCCAGGAAACACCAGTGCCCATAAAGCTAGTGACTAAATTGCACAGGTTGGGATCTTAGGATACGTTTAGACTGCAGAGTTTTTCTGGGAACATTTCGGAAAAGCAGACACATTTTTTCGGCATCCCTGTAAATCTCGTTCCACGAGGAAAAACGGATGTTCTGAAAGAGGCTTTTTTTCGACATTTGGCTCAGTGTAGACAGGCCAAATGTCAGAAAAACCTCTTTTGGAAGAAAAGCGGAAAAAGATACACAAATTGCAGTTCACAATTTGAGTATTTTCCCAACTTTTCTTTGTCATCTAGACACAGCCTAAATGTCCTCAATGTTGTCCATTCTACAAATTAACACCTTTTGTCCCCCTCTTCCCCTTTTCTTGTGCAAATTTAATTCAGAGCTAAGGTCCAGCACACACAATAGCAGGGTCAATTACTCCAGACTGCCCCTGGAGTATGTGTCAACCGTGATCTGCAAAGGTCACCTCTAAGGCATCACTACTGTTAGGTCTGTCGTCTGAGGCTGCTCAGTAAGGGCTTGGTTAGTGCCAATTGTGGTGGTGCTGCTCATCAGCAGGCAATTGCCTACTGGAAACTGGACTAAGCCCACAAAATGCTTCTCACATAAGCCACTGCTAATCAAATGGTGGTAACTTTCTGTCACTACCAGACCCGGTAAGCTGGAGGTAAGATGATCTATAAATATTTACCTATCAATTGTGTTGCTCATACTAACTAAAGCTTTGCAATAAGCACATCGAGATCGGAATCCGTTGTGCACTATCAGACCTTGATTAAGGACAGGCCCAGACAGGTATCCGCCATCTCATCTCTCCTGAGCCACTCTGCCTATCCCTTAGGTCCCATATGTTTTCCCTCTCTCAGTAATGTTCAGTGGAGACAATCTTTCCATCAGTCCCTTTTATATGTACTTCTAGCTCCCCTGAGCAGATGCTGTGGTTTCATTCTTAACTCATGTCCCAGACACAGGCCCCACGCTGCCCAACTGCCGCCCACCCGGCTGCTTGCTCACTGTCCTGAGTGGACAGCGCAGCCAACCACAGCATGCTGCCTTTGGCCCAGCAAACTCTTTGGCCGGGCCCGCCCAGAAATTATCACCATCTTTTCTCGATAACTCGAATAAAGTGTTTCTGATAAATCTCAGATTTATTACAATTCACTTAAATCAATATCTAGTATTTGAATGATGCATTTGCTTCCAAAATCATTTGGTCGCCTGTCTGTACCTTTAGTGGATTTCCAGTTTTCACATCCATACCTTAAGGTTGATAGTTTGGTCGTTAAATGGCAGATTTCTATCAACCAAATTTTGTTTAAGATGGTGAATACTGCTGCTGGCTTGCCAATTCATAACATTTTTTTTTTGACATTCCCAACTGGCTTGCACATTACTGCCAAAATGTGTAATAGACTAACCTTTTGTATTCCTGTGCCTTCTACTAAAATGCTTGAGTTGGGAGTTACTGGGATGGGGGTGGGAGTCTCACTAGATTTTGTTTTTAATAATTAGTTACTAACGCTTGTCTTTTTTGAAATTCTGGACTTCTAGCCTTTGTTTACATGGACTTCTGGCCATTGTTTCTCAAATGATCTCGGTGGCAATACCAAACAGGAAAGGTGAGAGAATGTACCCTTTTTTGACATCACTGATTGCATACAACCGTTCACTTAAGTCTGCATTTAGTGTAACATTCTACAATTTATTTTCACCGAGCAGGCTACAATTCAACACTTTTAAGTGTATGATAGATTCTTCATAGCTCATTAATAATGTATATACAAAATCCCAGTGTTACTTGCAGCAGCTGCCAAACTGAAAACTGAGAATTGCTGTAAAAATAGAAATTTCAGCTTCATGTCACAGGAATCTTACAATGGTGCTGAAAAGAGAAACTTTTTCTTATGGCTAGACACTTGAAATCACAATTGCTCCTTTTGTTGTCGGGTTTAAGTTGCAAATTTTAAATTACCCCTGTTTTAGGAGACTATGAGCCTTTACAATCATTTGTAAAATTCCTCTCCCAGCCTGCAGTGAAAATAAATCCACCAAATAAATCCTCAATGGCTCGCGTCACTTCTGAGGTAAAGTGGCAATGATATTTATTCTAGTAGAAAGAAGGTAATTTTTTTATTTTTCAAAAAGGAGACTTTGTTTTAAAGGATTAAATGGAACTGCAAGGAATGAATAACTGCAATTAAGTATCTGTTTGTAAAGAAGAATGTAAATAAATGTGTTTATATGCTTTCCTCATCCTAGTGATTCTGCCCTTTCCCCCTCAAAGAAAACCCTTACATTCATTAGAGCAAGTAGGTACCATTTAAAACAATCAAGACTTTTTTCCATTGAGTGTTGCCCACTTTCGGCGTCTGACAGAACAGGATCTTGTGCTTATCACAAACAAATATTCGGTCCAAGACAAATTTGGAAATGGTCGTATGAGAGAGATTTCTCAACGCCGTATCTCTGCACACGTTGCTGAGAAGCTCAATCCTTTTCACATGGACCAGGGATTGGTGCATCAGATCTTCAGAAATAACTTTTCCAGTTGGCTTGTTTTTAAAAAAAAAAGGGAAAAAAAAGAAAAAGTTTAACTTCTAGATCAAATTTTAGGGAGTAAGAGAATACATTAATTATCTTAGTAAAGTATGTTCCCCCCTCTTCTATATAAAAATATCGCTAAATTTACATCATCCCAGTTGGTTTCTGTTGGCTTCCTCAGGTTTGATACTGGAGCGACTGGTGATTTTCAACCATTATCAAGGAGGGTAAGAAACTTTCTATACAGCAATTTTTATGAAGCCTGGACTTATCTGTATAGAAAGGAACAAACCATGCTTTTACCTGGGCTTAACAGTGGAAAAGCAGGACATTTTCCAGGTGGTGGGATGGTAGAGTAAGCTATCAGTTTCATCTTAAGTTTTCATTTGAAACAAAAGACTTTTAGCCTTTGCAGATGGGAAGATAATGGCCCAGATGCAAACTGATGCTATGCTGACTTCCTGTATCTACACACATAGAAAGCTCCAAGCCACCTGTTTCTCCAAGTTGCAGCAAAGTGAAGTTGGCCAAATTCTGCTCAGTTTTGTGAATGGTCTTCAGAACCCAACGAGCAGCCATGAAGCAAATGTTAACATCCATTCACTTTGCATAGCAACAGAGGCAGGACCTAACAGTATTCTGGATGGGGAGGAGGAACTACAGAATCACACAGCAACCCCTCAATCGAAAGATAAGCAGATAAGAGAGGAGCAGTAATATCTTAAGAACGCAACAAGGTAAACAGCTCAAGCTCTGTTTTGTGGAAATGATCAGACCTTCAATTATTTCATTCTGTGTTAGGACCTGGCTTTCCAGAAAGCATACAGGGCATTCTTATTCCATTACAGTGAGATATTGGAATGTTTATGGAAATTCCCTAAAAATCCCCATATTAACAGTTTAAAGTAAAGCAGCCTGGGTTTATGTGGCTGAAAACTGCTACCGCCTTACAGATCATGCAGAGTAATAAAGCTTATGGCCTTTCTGAACTAGCCTAAGAACAAGGGTTACTAATATAGAGACTTGGGCCAAGCTGGTGATAGGCAATCTAAGCTTACGTGCTTTTATCCTCAGAAGAAGGGGTTGAACCAAGAAACAAATACGAAAAGGAAGGAAAAACAAGAGGAAAATAGGAGTGAAAATTCATAGAATCATAGAACTGGAAGAGACCTCAGAAGGTCATCAAGTCCAGCCCCCTGCTCTAGGAAGGACCAATTCCAACTAAATCAACTTGAACCAAGAAACAAATACGAAAAGGAAGGAAAAACAAGAGGAAAATAGGAGTGAAAATTCATAGAATCATAGAATTGGAAGAGACCTCAGAAGGTCATCAAGTCCAGCCCCCTGCTCTAGGAAGGACCAATTCCAACTAAATCAACTCGGCCAGGGCTTTGTCAAGCCGAGACTTAAACACTGCTAGGGATGGAGACTCCACTACTTCCCTAGGTAACCCATTCCAGTGCTTCACCACCCTCCTAGTGAAATAGTTTTTCCTAATATCCAACCTGGACCTCTCCCACCACAACTTGAGACCATTGCTCCTTGTTCTGCCATCTGTCACTACTGAGAACAGCCTCTCTCCATCCTCTTTGGAAGCTCCCTTCAGGAAGTTGAAGGCTGCTATCAAATCCCCCCTCACTCTTCGCTTCTGCAGACTAAACAGACCCAAGTCTCTCAGCCTCTCCTCATAAGTCATATGCTCCAGCCCCCTAATCATTTTGGTTGCCCTCCGCTGGACCCTCTCCAATGCGTCCACATCCTTTTTGTAGTGGGGGCCCAGAACTGGACACAATACTCCAGATGTGGCCTCATCAGAGCTGAATAAAGGGGAATGATGACATCTCTGGATCTGCTGGTAATGCTCCTCTTAATGCAACCTAATATGCCATTAGCCTTCTTGGCTACAAGGGCACACTGTTGACTCATATCTAGCTTCTCATCCACTGTAACCCCCAGGTCCTTTTCTGCAGAACTGCTACTTAACCGGTTGGTCCCCAGCTTGTAACTATGCTTGGGATTCTTCCGTCCCAAGTGCAGGACTCTACACTTGTCCTTGTTGAACCTCATCAGATTTCTTGTGGCCCAATCCTCCAATTTGTCTAAGTCATTCTGTACCCTATCTCTGCCCTTAAGCATATCTACCTCTCCCCCCAACTTAGTGTCATCCGCAAACTTGCTGAGGCTGCAATCCATCCCCTCATCCAGATCATTAATAAAGATATTGAACAAAACCAGTCCTAGAACCGAACCTTGGGGCACTCTGCCATCCTGACATTGAGCCATTGATCACTACCCGCTGGGCCCGGCCTTCTAGCCATCTTTCTATCCATCTTACCGTCCATTTATACCATCTACAAT